GTGAGATATTATTCAAAATTTCAAAGATATAATATTGACTTCCTTATGTATGTATATGTATGAAAGAATATCTTGAGATGTACGATAATGAATTGTTTATATAAATGAGATGTTATGTTATTAGAATTTATGTTTTGCTTTGAAGAACTTGAAAGATATAATAAGTTGGATTATTGTGATGTACTTGAGAATTACTTATGTGTTTTGAAAGGTCTAAGCAATGATTTAGCAAAAATGAAAAATACATGTTATGTTTGGTTATTTGAGAACTCTAAATAGTGATTTAATAATATGGATATCTAAGTTTTGTTTGGTCATTCAAGAAGTCTAAGCAATAACTTAGTTGTGTGAAAATTCAAATTATGTTTTGTCATTTGTAATGGGTTATGCATTTGTTTGTAATGCATTTATGAGATATACTTCATTCATTTATACTTAGTGCATGTGATATATGAAGAAGAGTCTCTATAATCTTTCTGCCTTGGTCTTGAAGATTTTAGAGTAGGGGACTTCTTGCTTGAGTAAGATGATGGGACCAACTATATTATCCTGATTGACTTATATTAGACTCATTGTAGTTGAGAATGAATTGATGGGATCATTGTGATATGGTTCATGTACTCCTAGACTACTTCAAAAATGTGTGCATTGTGTGATACCAAATACATACAAAGATAAAAGCATAACAACATTCATACATCGAGTTAATTGAATGAGTCTCTGATTAATGTGTTGGTAAAGTGATATTTGTGTCAGTTTAGCTCTACCAACTCAGTTAATTAAGTAAGTTTATGACTAAGTATGTGTTTAAGATTATATTTGTACATGTTTACTTCTACTCGATTTCTTACGAGTCTATAACATATATGAGATATATTTATGACTTTGCTATTTTTATTATTTAGGCTAAACACTTTTACAAGTGAACCAATTTTCTATAAGGAAAAAAAAATTGAGTGATTATACTTCTTTTATCTTTATTTTATAGGATGTTATAATTAGGTGTGATATCAAGATAAAGAGAGATCATATATTTATTTTGTTTTGAAAAATTATTTTAAATTTTTATAACACTACTATGTACGAGAGATACAAAAACGGTTAAAAAATGGATAGAACGATGATTTTAAAATCATCATTATTATAATCGTAATTAAAAATTATGAAATTAATAAAAAATTTAATTCGTTATGTTACTAATAGAATGACGATTATATTTATAATTATCATCGTATGGCAAAGACCATACATAACAAATTTAGAAATTTATACTATTACCTCATTTCTTTGTAGCACAATATCAATGTTGGCAAAAGTTTCAGCAACACACACAAAGCATGTCTCCAACAACACAATTTCTAACTCGTCTTTCATCTATCACTCATCTAAAATAAACTTCCCTAATATAATTTGAATAATTTTCTTCTCTAACATAGAAAGTTGAAAATATCAAGATAAAAAAATACGTTGTGAAGGAAAGAAAGAATGAGAAAAAATACTTTTTTTTTTTGTCTCTTGTGGTGAGATTAAGCACACTAGATACATCTATGGTTGAAAGACACTTTACATATGAGAGGAAAAAAAAAATACAACTAAGGAGAGAAAAAGAAGGAGGAGAAAGGAAAGTTAGGATTGCAAAAATGTAGAGATATAAAAGCAAAATGACCTAACTATAACAAAATATATCACACTATTTTGTTCTGTACAGCATTATGTAACATCTAAAAAAAATCATGATACCTGAAATAACAATTACTTAGTACCACAGTTGAGTTAATTATTTAAAAGGAAAATAATTTTATTTATTTATTTTAATTAATTGTTTTTACATCACAAAAAATAATATATATATATATATATATATATATATATATATATATATAGCTAAGGCGAATAATTCATTTTGGAGGAAAAAATAATTTTGATCATTTATAAAAAAGTAACTATTTATATAAATATGTATAACAAATTATAAATAATAAAATTAATTATCCATTATTTTCTTTATGAACATCACTTACTTTATGTTTAGTCAAAAAACAACGTCAACTTTCCTTCTTAACACGTACTAGTACAGTGTATCATTGTCGGTTACCGAGAGACCAATCACAAATTAAATATTAAAAAATAGCATAAAATATTTTTCTATTAATAAAAAAATATCACAATGTAAGATTAGGTGAGAAATTGACATAAAGCAAAATAAAATTAAGCTTCTACAAATAAAACAACAATGAATTTTGTTAGTATTATTCTTTTTTTTTCTGTTTTTTCTCATTATTTAAAATTTTAAAATAATCAAAATCCACGATGTGACTAAGTAGATTTAACAAAATCTTTTTAATACATATTCTAATATAATATTATATTAAAAAATTAAATTTAAATTACACTAAATATTATTTATATATTATAATTCAATCATATTTATATAAAATACATCTTAAAAATATATTATTTCTTGATTTTATTTTATTAGAAACAGTTATTTAATTAAATTTTTTTAACAGATGTATTTATATCTCTCTAATTATTAAATTTATAAAATTTTGTTCTCTTTCGTTCACTGGTTTAAAAGAAAAAGCTAAAAGATAATTTATATATGTATATTATTAAAATATTTTTTAATATAAAATGATGATAAATAAAAACTTTTAAGCGGTAGGTAAGATGCTTATTCTGAAAACTAAGATAAGTCTTAAGTATACCTTTCCTCTTTAACTTGATGAAGCCTCTCTCTGCTACATTCATATACACGTACCTGTCATTCTCTCAACCCATCCCCCACATGCCATTTTTTGTTCTTTTCCTCTCACCTAAACACACACCTGCCTCTTACTTATCACCTCTGCCATTTTCTACTTCCTCCATGGCTCCCAAAACCAAACACCCCTCCAACAATTTTCACCATTTTCACATTCTTTTCACTCTCACCACTTCAATCCAACTCATGCTCACAATAACGCTACCACGCTCAGGTTTCAATTTGTTGCTCAATCATGAAGGCTTCAATACTATCAGTGTTCTATTAAAAACCTTTTCACTTTTGTATCAGTGTAAGACACTATGTGTGTTTTGTGCTCGTGAAATATGTATGTCTTGTCCTTTCATGCACCACTTTCATGCACCACCACCACACACACCTTTCTTAAATTTATATCTAATTGTCATTACTATACACGTGGAAGCCTGTTCAGTAAATATATAACTTAATTTAATTTGTTTAGAGAATGATTACCATGTTAAAACAAATATCATTTTAGGGTTACTATTACATATTCATATATCATTATTCATCGATGGTTAACTATTCAACTCATCAATATCTTATGTTGTTTTTTCCCATATTTGCAGTGGAATGCTTTCTTTACAAGGATGGTGTTATTCATCTCTATGATTTTTAAAAAATAAAAAAAAATATTCTCAAATTCTATGAACAAAATTGAATCAGCACATTGTCCATCGTTAACCTAGTTTAAATTTGAGAGACGAAAACTACACAAAACTAAACTAAATCAAATTAATTCGTTTTATTCATTGATTCAAAATTTGCGTTCAAAATTAAATCAAATCTATTCATAAGCATTTTCAATGTTACTTTCATTCATAAATCCAAATTTTGTTCTCTTTTGCAATAAAGATTGAATGAAACTAAAAGTAATAATATTCATTCTGTCTATTTACTGTTTTTTAAGTAAAGTGTGAAATAGTTTTGTTTTGTTGTTTATTTTTTGTTCACGTGATCTTTTTTTGTCCTATTCCTTTTATTATCCATGTAGCAATTTAATCATTACGAAATAATACAAAAATCTTAATATTTCAAGAAAGTGGCACGGATTACTTTTTTTTATTTTTTTATTACGGAATCTTCATATATATTCCTATTTATCATTAAATTATTAAAGAAAAAATATTATTATATTCCTCAATTCTCTCTTTTTTTTAATTCTTTTTTGAATATCCAAACATTTTTAGCCTTATTTTTTATTAAAAGAATTTTTATTATATATATATATATATATATATATATATATATTCTTTAAATACAATAATGACTATTTAATTAGTTAAAAATATTTTTTACCTAAAACTGTGGATTGTGTCAAGCATTTTATACACGAAACTAGTGTATGACATGTCAAAAAGTGAAACCTTTAATATATTTTACACCGAACCAGTATCAATTATGCTGATACAATCACAACATGTTTTATTTAATGTTTAATTCTTCGTTCAAGAGCATGTTGAAGGTTGAAACCACAGATGGGCATGCAAATTCTATTAGTTGCAGAAAAATATATGGTAAAATATGACTAATCAAAGGACCACATAGCTTATGAAATTGTTATGGAAGCATATTTAAAATGGGAACTAAAGAAAGTGTTTCTTCACCTCTATGGAAACCATTTCACGCCCTGCACAGTTAAAAGGCCACTGAAAATGAAAGAAAAACTAGGTCACAGACGCCAGGTAAAAGGTACAACAATGTAAAGTTGTATCAACCCTTACACGTCAGAGAAAAGTCTAGTTCAATTGGTAAGAGAAAAGACAGTGTTCTGCTTCATCCATGGACATATGCATGGCCATGGAGGGAGGGTAGGGACCTTCCATAAGGGAGAATCAAATCACCCTTTGAGTTTTGGACTCATCTCCCTTTGAGTTTTGGACTCATCTCAGAGATATATACACACATACATATGAATATATCTATTACTTTTTGTCCCGTCTCACATGCATTGGCCCCCACCTCTCCCTCACGAGACCCCTCTATGATATCGAATATATTATATCACACGTGAAATCTTCACGTTTCACTGTGCATGACCGAGTCCACTCCATCATGCTTAATTTCTCGATCGATCTAACTCGGTAATGTGGTTCAGTTTATATGCTCCTACTAATAACAGTAGCTAGCTATATATATCAATATGACACAACTTCATCAGTTTCTTTAGCCCTAAGCTACGTTTCACTTAAATGAAAGTTTGAAAGTTGAGGCTCTAGATATAGTGTCCACCGTACTGGCTCTGCAGGTTCATGGCTGAGGCTGACCCCATTGCATTAAATTCAACAAGATCTTGCTGAAAAAAGGGTCTCCTTATCGATTCAATGTTATTATCTCCCACACCCAAAAAATCTCGGGTTAAACCAAGTTGATTTTTGTTGTGTGAGCTTATTGAGTGTAATTGCTTTCCCATGATTGATGCTGTTGTCTCTTCATCCACCGGCATCAGCATGTGCTCCAAACCCTTGCTGCCATTCACAACCACAAACGAGTTGTTTGAGTCACCATTTAATATATACCCACCACCACCACCTCCAAGGTTGGTACACCCTTCCACGCTCACCAACTCGTTCAGCTTCTGGACCTCAACAACAGCGTTGTTGACAATATTGTTGTTGCTGCTGTTTATATTCCTGCCCGTGGAGCAAAACGCGTTGTCGCTCACCCTCGTAGATCCCATTTGAACATCTTTCGGCAACAGTGTGGTGGCTGACATGTAGTGAGGTGGGTTCTGATTGCTACTCAAGTACAAGTTAGAGCTTGCACTATGCGACAAGTCTCCTTTGTTTTCTTCTTGTTCTTGCTTCAGTCCATTTGGCGGCAGCACAGACAGGTTGGCACCTCCAAATGATGCTTCTGGGTAACGGTAATTCACAAACTGTGGCCCAAACATGTCCATCGTTTGCACCACATCAGGCACAGGGTTTGGCCCCGAAGAAGTGAAAGCACTTGGTTTGACTGGGAAGTTAAGAGGGTGGTGGTGTAGTCCTTGCGGATTGGCCTGGTGGTCTAGCCACAGTGGTAGCCTTAGCTTTTCTTGTTGATGATGATGGTTTGGATCAGCATAATTCACCAGCGGTTCTGATGTTCCCGAACCACCGAATTGATCTGAGTGAAACCCGGAAAAAATCTGAGGCATCCTCGAAGCTTGGGCATTGGTCAAATGATGGTCGTTTCTCAAGTTGCTAAAAGCTGCTGGAACTGTTGATATCCGCACACTTTCCTCAGCCAAAGCGTCACAGAAGGCTCTATGCGTTATGAAGCTATCCTTCCTGATTTGTTAGGATATACACAGAAAACATCAATTAAGAACCCTCATTTATTATTCCGAACAAATATTCTCCCAGTTACTACTACAACTACTATTGCATATATGACATTTGTTTTCTTGGCTATCTGGCATTCATTAGATGTAATGAATTAACTGAATATTAAATTGCAACGGTGTGTAACTAAGTATGGATGGATGAACTAAAGGAACAAATTAATTATGTGATGATGAGGCATTAAATAATATTAATTGTTTCTGTGGAAATGCTAACCTGGAGAAAAGTGTGCCACAGTCACATTTGTACTCTCTAGTCCCACAAATCTTGCTATGGGCCTTCCAATCGGATTGAACAGCATACTTCTTGGAGCACTTATCACACTTCCACTTCTTCTCCCCATGCTTTCGGCTATAGTGCTTCTTTATGCCTGTCAAGTCTCCCAAGGCTCTAGAGGGGTCATGGTGCACACAACTCTTCTCAGGGCACACATACACCTTCTTTCTCACTTGATCTTTGTTTGTTCTCTGCTTCAGCTTCCACGGAAGGTTGTGGCCACGTCTATGCAGCTGCAAATTCTGGTCTCTCTGAAAACCTTTGTTGCAAATTTCACATATGAAACGGTTGGTGGCCATGAGGGACTTAGGTGACAGAGCTACCACTTCTGCATCTGGATCTGCTTACACATAATTCATATTACTTATAACTAAATTAATTAATTAATTAATGTAAACAAGAATTCCTTGTTAGAAATAATAAACAAATAAAAGGGATTGAGAGATAAGAAGAAGTGGATTAACAATCATAATCACTTGCCTGGTGTTCCGGGTAGACTTCTCCTTCTCTTAGCTGGATTTGAACTAGGGTTAGGATTATTAGGGTTTGAGCTTGGGGGTTGAACATGAACCAAGGAGTCTCTGATGGTGTTGGGAGGAACAGAAAAGGATTCTTCAGACATCATTTTTGAAGTGAAGAAAAATTGTGTGTCCTAAACTAGCTACCTATGGGAAATTCCAAAAGAAATAGTAGTTTGAGGAAGGTACTGCCAAAACAAATATAAAACCAAAAAGCAACGTATTATAGCTAGCAGCTACCAGTGCTCATGCTGGGAAAATATAACATAGCATGTAGGCATATTGAAAGGAAAACTGCATAGATATAATTGATCATTTTCATTGTGTTGAATTTGTGGTTTGAGACATGGAAAAAGAAAAAGAATATGCGTATGTAAAGAAATTGAAATTGGTTTTTCATGTGAATCGCGCTGAAAGGAAAGTCATAGTTGGGAAAGAACGAGTGTGTTAAATGAAGAGAGAAGAGAATAATAGTTTATAGAATCTTTCTCACTTCATATCTTCCTTTCTCTCCTTATCTTACACGGCTGCTCTGAGGGTCAGTCAGCCATAGACTCTGCGGACCCCTTTCTCTCTCTCTCTCTTTCTCTCTCTCTCTCTCTCTATCTCTATCTCTCCTTCTGTCTTTCTCACTCTATATATACTAACTAGCAGTATAAATCTAGCCAATTAAGACACAGTTTCAATTGCAATTCTACCAAGTCAACAGAATCAACAATTCAGCTTAGGATAAATTTCTACTGTAGTTACCAATTGGGTGTTCATAACATTATATTGGGTTAAAAATGTTACACTAAATTTGCAAAAATAAGTTACTTATAGTTCTGTTAAATGAAAGTAAAAATGAATGAGTAAAACCGGATGACTCTGTTGTGAACAGAAGCTATAATATTGTGTAAGAAGAAGATAACGTGTAACTTTCAATGTGTCATTGTTGGATGACGGAGCAAGGCTTTATTTTACTACTACCTAGTACTATTCTAGTACTATTACTAGTTAACAAAATTTAGCCAAGATTTAGAAAAATAGGAAGAAGAAAAAGGCGAGTTGGCTGGTTGGGAAATAGTAAGAAAATTGATTTTAAAAGAGAAAGAAAAGGGAAAAAAGGAGTGAACTTTACAGGGAGGTATGAAAATGATTATGCCATAATTGTATCAGGACCGTAATCTCACAAAAAAGTTAGAGAGAGGAAGAGGGTGGTGCCGTCCGTGAGGCCTCACTGGTTGGGAGTAGGGGCCCACCAAATGACTGTCAGAATGAGTGAGTGAGAGAGAAAGAAAAGAGTTTCGTCAAGAGATGACTGCTACTGCTCGATGTGTCCACCCACCAGCCACCTATTAATTATTACTCTCAATTTCAATTTTAAGTCTTTTTTTTTTAATTATTAAAAACATTTTTAATAAATTATCATTTCCTGTTCCAAATTTTAAATCATCCTGAACTTCTTTAATATAAATATACAAGAAAAAAAAAAAACAGTGAGTGAGTGACTGTGGTGTGTGCTGCACATTTGTCGAGAAATTCGACGCGTGGGCCATATCTGATCTCGTCGTTGTCTCCACTCTGGTATTTGATATTTTCCTTTTTTTTTCTACTCTTTGGAACAGTAATTAACTCCTGTGCGCCATTTGAATCTCTTGGCCAACATTTCTCGTGAAATTCTCGTACCATAATCATTCAAATGTTACTTTTAATGGAACTGGCATACTTGATGCTTCAAATAAATTTCCCCAATCATTCAAATTCATTGCGCCAATAAATTATGCAACTTTCAAACAAACTGTGTCAACCATTGGGTCAATCAATAAAGCCACATTACATTACGTGTTTCCCTGGCCAACACTCACTTTTTTTTTTATTCAAATAAATGCTCTTTTAAACATGCTTAAAAATAAAAGTGATTAAAAGTCAGAGTGAGTGAAGTATGCTATATATATATTATGTTTTTTTGAAAGAAAAAAATAAAGAAATTATGGTGCATTGCTGTACTTAGTCTGTGAGTCATAGGGGTGGCTCCTCCTCCCCCACAACCCTAATTGATTGAGTGAAGAGTCAAATGTGAGAATTGGGAAGAACGACAGAAGAAACAAGTAAAGAACACCCTTTTTCCCACTGAGTTGACTCGGTCTTGTATCCACAAATGCCCCCGCATCTATCGTACCTCATTTCGTCCTTCATTCATGGTTTGCACTGTTCATTCAACAAGTTTCATTCCCAACTTGGCTTTGCCAATTTCAAAACCATAATTGTCTCTGTTACAACTTTTGGGGAACTCATCACATGCTTCCTCTTTTTTCTTTTCTTTTTTAATATATTTTAATACAAATTATTTATTATATAAAATATGTTAAATAAGTTTCATATAAAATTACGTTATTGCATATTAGTTTTCATTTAACTTGTATTTAGATTGAACATAAAATATAAGAGAGTATAAATGAAAAGAAAAAAAAAGGAAAAAATCAAATTGCTTAGTGTAGTAAAAAAATTGAAAAAATAAATAAATAAATAATTATTGAAGATAATATTAATTTAATTGATTAAAATATTATTTTATTAAATTTAACTAAATTTATTTATTATTTTAATATTTTTTACTTAATTATTATTATTATAATTAAAAACAAAAATAATATTAAAAATCGAGTCATACTCCATTATAAATGTAATATTCACTTTTGTTTTAATCACCGATATAAAAAAATACATTGATTTTATTGAAAAGTATTTTTTTATCATCCATATGGAACCAAATCCATTATACACAAGTTATATTAGAAATAAAACATATCTAATTTAATTCTGTAAAATTGAGTATAAAATAAGATTTAGAATCATTCTTCACATTAAAGAAGATTTTTAAAATTGTTAGATTTAATTACAATAACATGTTAAAAATATAAAAATATTTAACTTAGTTTTATGAAATTAATGTGTAAGGTGAAGTTTTTATCTTATTTATAGATTATAATATTTTCATTAGCTCATTTTAAAGAATTCGATTACATGTTAAAATGAGTTAACTCAAATTACACTAATAGATAAATTTTAACCTAATTCATTTTGTGATAAGCTAAAAATTTTAGAATCTTACGCAAATTTGTAACTTACTTATATATGCATTTTTTTATTATTATTTTTTATCTTTTTAAATTATTAAAATAAATGGATTAAGTATATTGACTCACTAAAATATATTAAATGAGTTAACTTACTAAAATATTTATTTATTTCATAGATTTATATTAACACAAAGATAAAAAGAAAAAAAATCACCCTTAATCCGAACCTATTTAACCCACAAGTTAAATAAGTTAAACTTTCTTTAAACCCTTTCAACCTAACCCAAAAACAAAAATGAAGTTGACTGAGGGTTGTGACTCATAATTATACACTTGTGTCGTGTATTCGAATAATGTTATTATTATTATGAATGCAAATAATTGTTCTCAAATTGATTGGAAGAATTTTAGGGTACCGTTAAATAATTAAAGCAACTATTCATTGCTTGACATGTATTAAATGCATTCTCGTGAATTTTCTACATACTTTAATTTTCATTGTACGTTTGTTTCATACCTTAGAAATAAAGGCAAAGAAAAAGAAGAATATCAGAATGGGAAAACGAACATTGTTATAATAAAAATGATGGAATCTAAAATAAAATTACAAAAAAAAATGTTTTTTTTTTTTGTAAGTATAACATAACATGCATTTTCTAATAGAAACTCCTCCCGTAATCAATTCAACAGTTTTTTTTATTACAACAGTGTGTTATAATAATAATAATAATAATAATAATAAATATAAAATACCAATAGTAAAAGTTAAAAATAAACAAAATATTTCTAAAAATCAAGTAATATATAATTATATTATTTATAGTAAATAAGAAGCAAATTAATTAATTAAATTATGTAACTAAAAATAATATAATTATCTTAGAAATATTATTTGTTATATTAATTAATTTTTTTATTTCAAGTGTTAAACTAACTTTAATTAAGAATAAGAATTGAAAAATAATGATTAGAAAATAAAAATATTTAAAATAAATAAATATTTTGTTCGAAAACTAAAAATATTTGCAAGATTAAAAACATACATAACCCTTCAATATTTTTTTTATTTTCTTACCATTTTTTACAAATATTCTGCAAAAATTACTTTGAAATGGTTATTTTCACGTAGGCATTTTAATTAAACTAACTACTTCATGACATTAATTGATATAAATTTATTAATAGTTTGTTTGAACTTTTTTAAAAATATATATAACTTACTATTTGTCCAAATAAATTAACTTAATTTTCTATTTATGATATTTAGATTTTAGAACCTTTGACTGTAGGTTAAAAGTCCTCATCTTTCACTCAACATTGTGTACTTTATCATGCAGAGTTAGTTTTTCAACAATATTTTCAAATTTAGTTTTATTCTTTATAAAAATTTAATATTTTTTATTTTTCATATTTCATCATAACACACCTTTTTCAGTCTTTGAACAGGGACTAAAATTATAATAATTTTATTAGATTTAAGAATTAAAATTTTATGATTTTTTATTAAAATTAAAACTTTTATTAGACATTTTAATAGATAAAAATCTAGATGATAAAATAGGTTGGTCTAAAAGATAATTGGAACATATGGATATGTTGTTCCACTTTAAAAAATAAATATAAATTAAAGTAAAAATAAAAATTATTATAATTAAAAATATTATATTTTTTTATTATGTTAAAAATATATAAATATATTATAATATTATAATTTAATTATAAATATTAATTAATTAAATTTAAATTATTAATTATTAATTATAATAATATATTTAATATATAAATATAATAACTTTTTTAATTAATTTAATAAAAATATTAATTAATGAATAAAATATAAAAATTATTTATATAATTAAAAATATAATTTAAAAAAATATATATATTTAAAAATTTTGTATTAGAAAAATATTAACGATGAACTAAGATGAATCAATATATCTAGATAAAAATTATATAAATTAAAATAAAACATATTTATCCACCTTGTCATCCAATAGAAATCACAGTATTATATATATATATATATATATATATATATATATATATAAATTTATTAATACATATTTGAATATATTGTTTTGTATATACAAATTTAATTTTCTTGGACAACTTTTGATCCTACATTTTTTTTAAAAGCATAAAATTATATAATTTATTTTTTTTTAATGACAGAGGTTAATATGAACAGAATCATCCACATGCTTTGTATACAAAGAATCCATTATATATTATTATTATTATTAGATTTAATCTATAAGCTGACACAATTTTAATTTTTCTTATAATATATAATTAAATAGGATATAGGCAAGCAAAAGGTAGTTTTTTAACCATTAACATACCTTTAAAATCTTATGTGCACGTAGGTATGATTTGAAAGAAAATAATTAAATATATGAATTTGCATGTGGATAGATAATTTGCATTCAAATCTTTGACTTAGGTTAAAGCTATGGGCTAAAATCTTCCCTTTCCCACAGAAATTAATGATTTCTATTGTATAATAATTAAATAAACATATCATTGATTTCAATTCCTGGTGTTAAATCATATGTTAAGATAGCTACAAGTTGGACCTAGCCAAACAAACAACAATGTTTAATATAATTAGTTTTAACTATTTTTATTTATTTTTTATTGATTTCATATTAATTATTATTATTATTTTAATTTTTTAATTAAATCATATTATTTAAAGTCAATAAAAATAGTATATTTATCAAGAAAGTGAGATTTATATTAGTAAAATTATTTTAATATATGACATTTTTTTTTCAATTTATATAATTGTTTCGATACGTTAAATACTTTAATTTTAGATAAAGACGTCCTCTTTTGGATTTCTTCTATTAATCATATATTTAATTTCTCACCCTAATTATTTCTTCAAATGTAACCATGAACCACTACCTTCTTCAAAACTAATACAAACTAAAAGGAGAGAATGAAATTTAATTGTAAAAAAAAAAATAAAAAAAATCCAAATAATGCAGACATAATAGTATACCCTCCCTAATCTATCTCTCCATCGTTTTAAGTAAAAAATTTACCTGATAAGAATATATAAAATATAGTCATTATAAGTAATCTAATAATATTTAGATAAAATTAACAGATTTTATTACGATAGACTTAAATATTATCTTAAAAAATATATCTTAAATTTATGTTCTGTACTTTGATCTCGAAGTAAGATCTTTAAGTTAACCTATCATAACTGTAGTTAGTGTAGTTATTTAATAAATGAAAAGTGTTCATGTTACAGTTTTTTTTTATTTGATGAATAAGTGTACATATTACACTAACAAGAATGTTTAATATATTCAATAAGACACAAACTTAGGATTTAAAAGCTTTAGTTTCACTTACATTCTCTTCTAGTAAGAGAAAAAAAAATCTGTATTTGTTCTAGAACAAGTTTATGTGCGTAATATATAAAAAGAATTGTTTCTCGTTGAAAGAAAAATAAAACTCAACTATTATCGAATTTAATTATAATCATTAACTTGCATATATATATATATATATATATATATATATATATATATATATATATATATATATTAATGAATTCTAAAAAAATTGAAACATAATTTAATGAGTAATTTAATTTTGTAACGTTTATTTATGTATTATTATTATTTAAAAATTGATGTTAAAATATATGATAACCACATTATTCATTATCATTTTTCTATATTAAGTGAAAATTTTCTTAATTTATTACCTAACATATTATCTATGATATAAATTACAGTTAAATGTTCTTATGGATAACAATTCATTATAAATATAATGGTAGATGCAATGGCGGATCTTCTTGGGAGTGAGGGGCCGTGACCTCCAAAGTTCAGTAACTCCCATGTAATTTATGATTTTGGCTCCCAAACTTAATTAACATTTAATATATTTAATTATATATTTACAATTTTATCCTCTCAGTCCCTCCTCAGTTTTATAACTCTTATATAATTTATGATTTTGTCTCTCTCTAACTTAATGATCATTTAATATATTTAAGTATATATTTACAATTTTATCCTTTTACACTTTTATCATCTTTCTTCCCTTTATATTTATTAATAATATATTATTTAGCTCCCCAAGATCAATGGTTAAGATCCGCCACTAGGTAGATGGTCTTATACTAACATATAAGAGGATCTATAAAAAACAAAATCATGTGTTAATGTAATAGTACAAAGACCAACATATAAAATGAGAAGTCAAAAACAATCATATGATAAAATAAAGTTAAATTTAAAAGATAATTATATAATATTATAAAAGCTAATTTAATGGAATCAATACATGCATGGATTGATTAAAACAACATGTGGATTAATTAAGATCATATAAAGATAATTAAGATCTGAATAAGTGGGGATTATGTGTAGATCAATTAAATTATATAGGGATCACTTAAGATTATATGTGAATAAATCTAAATTATATGAAATCAAGAGATAAATTAAAATCATATAAAATTCATTAAGATTTATTCTGAATCAATTAAGATCATGAAGTAGATTAGTTAAGATCACACATATAAGTTAAAATCACAGAGTAAACAATGACATAAATATACGTTGATAGATAGATATGAAAATGTTAAACATAATGCAAAATAAAAATTAGGTATCCAACAATTTATAAACATATAAATAACATGCAAAAATGAAAGATTAAAAATAAAAAAACATATTAATAACATAAAAAATGGAAGATTAAAAATATCGAAGTCGTACTATAAAGAAGCATGATGTATAGTGGCGGATCTTCTTGAGAGTTGAGGGGGGCCGTGACTCTCCCAAAGTTTTATAACTCCCATGTAATTAATGATTTTTGCCCCAAAAACATAATGAGTATTTAATATATTTACTTGTATATTTACAATTTTATCCTCTCAGCCCCTCCTTAGTTTTGTAATTTACATATAATTTATGATTTTGTTTCCCTCAAACTTAATGATAATTTAATATATTTAAGTATATATCTACAATTTTATCTTTTAAACCTTTCATATTCTTTCTTCCTTTTATATTTATTTATTATTTATTAAAAATATATTATTTGGCCCCAAAATCAATGGTCAAAATCCGCCACATGTCTAATTGAATATCACATGATCAAAATTATAGGGGAGCACCTTCGTCAAATCGTTTTTCAACCCATATATATTAATAATTAAAAACCAAGCGTGACCCTTAAATATTGCTGAAAAGTGAAAATTAAGAATGCACAATTATATAATCTTAATACCTGAGAATGCACAATTATATAATCTTAACACCAATTTTTTTATGTATTTACAATAATAAGGAATGAAATAATGGAAAAATGAAATTTATTATTATTATTTTTGTGATGCACATAACCGGAGGTGCAAAAAGAAGTTAAAAAGCACGGCAATTTTGAGCCCGACATGGTATTGTAGTAGCAAATGTTCCACGCATGTTTTCCATTTCTTGAATTTTGTCCATAATTTCTCTTACGTCTTTTTATCGAAAATTCGGAGAAAAAAACATAATAATGAAAAATAAGTCAACGCATATTAAAAATTATATTATTTTCAATCTAAAACTTTCAAATAATAGATTACGAGTCATTTTTTTTATATGTTAAATTTTAAAATATTAAATTATGAACCATATTTCTTTATATATTCTTTAATTTTCTATTTTTTATTCATCTAAAACTTTAAAATTACACTTAAATTAACTAATAATTTCTTCTAATCATCCTATGCAAGTCACTAAAGTCGTAAGCATCCACACATTTATTAATGACAAGTTGTATTTGCTATAACTAAAGCATTTATCATTATCCATATTATAAACTAATTCTTATAATAACTTAGAAAATGATAACAGCTAAATAATTATAATAATAACTCAATTTTATTAACTAATAAATATCATTATCCTTATGCTAAAAGATTTCCTCTATGGAAGTAAAAAGGCTAAATTATTATTTTTTTAACTTAAATCTATAAAATTAGGTTAAAATTAGATTACTCATTTTTACATCTCTATAATATACATATTACACTAAAATTAATTTCTTACAAGAGTATATCAATCACGGTGCAATAGAGATTAGATGGATTAAATTAAAATTAAATCATGATATTTAATCGATTACGTTCTTAGTTAGAAAAACTATAAATTAATTATTAATTATAACTTTGAATTCGATCTAACAACAATATATATATAATAAGCAATTATTTTGCAAAAATGAAAAAAAAAAACTCCAAACTTAAAAATGTTATAACAAATTAATTATCATTCGAGGCCAATATTTATATGAACTTCTTTTACCTTCTTAACGACTAGATTATTTGTTCATTCTTATCCTTCATGAATAATGAATGTGGGTTTGAGTAAATTCAAGTTTTTTCACTCAAAAATTCCTGAAAAGAAAATTACAATTTTACATCTCTCAATTTTATTTATATAATTTTATTTTAAAACTTTTAAAGTGTTTTCTAATTTTTAAAAATTTAAAATATTGAGGAAAATATTTTTCAAAATGTATTAAACATTTAAATGCTCTTAGAAAATACTACAAAAAATGTTAAATTTATAAATGTAACGTTTCTACTACCGTACACATAAGATTTAAAAATATTTAAGAATATAAATATATTAAGTTATTTACATCATATATATATATATATATATATATATATATATATATATATATATATATATATATATATTTACAAAATAATTGAAATACAATGTTTTTTCTTCCTTTCTCAGTAGCTCAATGTTGAGACTAACCACTTAAAATATCATTTGTTCACGTGTAGCAACATATTAATGACAAATCAGATTAACACACCACACAAACTAAGGTAAGTTAATAATAAAATTCTTTATTTATATGATTACTAAATATTCACACCTAAATAAATAAACAAAACACCACACTTATACAATAAATCAAGTGTCTAATATTTCAACATGTAAGTTACATCTTATGTCATCATATACTGACATTCACAATCATAAACACTTGACTCTACTTCTAGAAGACTCTTATGCATTGAATTTAGACTCAGAAATTTGTACTTGTCACACTACCTTCCCTAAATGAATATTTCCAACATAGGTACATAATTGAAAAATGTTCCCTCATATGATAAGGTAAATCCCTATGACTTGTTAGATATAATTCTTTTTCACACTATAAGCTAAGTCATAAAGTCTTCCTTCAACTCTGATTACCTGATATTTTTCTTTACGTGAGTCCAATATCATTAGAGTTAGATTATCTCCTTTAGAATCCTAAATTCAATACATTACCTACATCTCAACATAGTATTTTCTCTTTGAAAATTACTATATTAACTTTTATCAATTCATCACGGATATAACATACATATAAGAGTATATGATATTTTTCACATTATAACAATATATTTTTCTATACATACATTAACACACCAACACACATTATTTCATGTTCAATACATGTATTCTATTATCCTAAATAATGTATATACCATTTATCACATTTCAACAAAGATTAAATTTATGGGATTTTATCTATGTTTATTCTTTTGGTCATAACTTTTTTTTACAAATATCATTTTTAACTAATTCTTATTTCATTGGATTCCTTAGTTTTAGGACTTCAATTTGCATATACGGAACGTTATATTTGAAGTTTTGATATTTTTTTTATGTTTTTTAGAAGTTCGGGTAGAAAAATTCTAAGTAATTTCGCTTAAGCGAAAATACACCAAAGACAAACCTCTTCCATTGGGAGTTTTTTTCGCTTGAGGGAAAATACATCTGAGATGAGTCATTTCCTTTTCTGCATATTTCGCTCAAATAAACTTGTATTAAACCACACTTCAAATATCAAACACTATTATGTGAGACTCTATTATTCAATTTTCTTTTAAAATATGTCATACATAGTCCAATTATAGCTATTATATCCTAACATGTTATACACATTATTACTCTAACTTAACTCATTCAATCACAATTTAAGATACAACACAACAAATTAATTTCCTGCAAATCAAATAATGTGACCAAGTCACCTCCACAGTCTAAATCTTCTAACCTAAAGTACTATGAAAATCAAAGAATAATTATCTTCTCTTACCTTCCAATAGTGTTCTCAAGCTTAAAAGTTTTAAATCCTCAATTTCTTAGAGAGTCAGATCCTACTCACAGAAAGTCTCAATTAACAAATTGAACTCACTATATTATTTTTAAACTAGTTAAGATTTATCTTTATTTCACTAAGGTTATATGCAAGATTCGGAGATCCATATAGAAAACCTGAGCCAAAAATTTGTACAAATACTTTAAAATTTGGGATATAAAAATGTTATACTCGCTGCTAGAAACAAAGTGATGTATTTGAATATAGAAAAAGATAAGAATTAGGCGAAGAAGTTTAAAAAAAAAGTTAGATGATTTAGAATTTAGAGAGATAGTGATTCTACATAAATGAAGTTTGAAATAGAAGAATTGTCTATTTAAACTATTTTTATCTTAAGGTAAAAATTTTAAGCTTAGTTCCATTTAATCATTATTTCTCTTTAAACTACTAAAATCTCTTTCCTTTTAATAAACACTTTGGAAAAGACATTTCTTTTAAATGTTAAAATTAAATTTCGAAACGTACTTTTGCGAGGCAATTTTCAAAGAGAATTTTACCTTTAAATTGTTTCATATTTCGTATGTGCTGATATACTAACTTTTCAATTTCTTTGTAAGAAACAGAGTTTTTTTTTTTGAAATAATGAGATTTTGAGAGAAGTTTTAGAAATATGAATTTCGTGATACATTAATATTCTAATCAAATTCATGACAAATCTTGCGAGTAAAATAATCACAAAAAATGTGTATGTATTTGAGTGAAGTCATTCTGTAGAGGTTGAGAGGTATAATTTTCATAATTGTTCTAAACAACAAAGTGCATGGGTTCTTTTCTACTACAATTTTTCTCTAAAATTTTAGCTTCAAAAATAGTTTATACAGAAATGTTTTGTTAGATTGGATGATGAAAAAAAAATGAAAGAAAGGAAAAGGAAAAAAAAAAGTATAAATAAACAAATTAATAAAAAATAAAGTAGTTTATGTTAGGTGAAAGGGAATGAGAATGAATAAAAAAAAAAGATAAATTGTTTTATTTAATTATTATAATAAACTGAAAAGAGTTTCTCAAAAGCAATTTTAGCTTGAATCTCATTTATTTGGACTTTGAAGTGACTCCATTTTAGCCAAAATTGGGCTTTGAAGAGTCAAGTTATTGGGCCTTGAAAGACAGAAACTTGGACTTCACCTAGGAGCTACAACACTGGCTAAAAAACCTTATCCTTGAATACAACGTAGAAATAGGTTGACGCACCACTCATAGAACCGCCGCACCCGCCGCCGCAACACGTAGAAAGACCCCGCCGCCGCATCCAAGCAGAGAGTCCCTGCCGCGACAGAGACGCGGCTTCTCCTACGCTGCCTTAACAACGCGACGGAGATTTCGCAGCGCCCACGCGACGGCCACACCGCCGTGCGAAGTATCGATCTTTAACGACAATCCTACGCCATCCACTAAAAGCACGACCTAGAGGTGAGGCGTATCGGAAAGGCTGGAGAAGATCGTAAACGCGTACGATCTTACGCTCCAGAACGTGATTTTGACTGCCTTGAGTTTGGGGGCCAACTATTTTCCTGGCCTTGGTATATTTTAGCAGCTCTTTTGTTCTGTAGTGATATGTTCTTTGATGAATTCAAGTGGGGACATGTTTTATCATATGGAGCTGCCTGCAAGCGTTTCAAAGCTTTTCATTTTTGCGGTTATAAAACGTGTATTTAGTGATCATAGTTAATGTTGAATGCTTTATGTGAACTGTTTTTTAAATAGCTTTGTTTTTCTGTTATTTTTGTAGTGTCTGAGTTCAACTGCATGAATCAAAGTTAGATTGCTTGATCAAATGATCTAGTCTTCAAACAAGTTATACAACTCTATTTTTCTGGTTTAATGCTAAAATCCTATTGCTACTCACTCAATCAGTCTCTACTATCTTGCAGACTAGCACTTTCTATTCCATTCCTAAACACATGGACACGGATGCCATTGGAGATCTTGTTGACAAGCTCAAGGCTATCCAGAATGACGATGTAGAAGATCAAGATGAATATGATGATTTTGATGATGATGATGATGAAGAAGAAGAAGAAGAACATGAACCTATCACACTTGGCTTTGTTGACAAGCCTAAGAATAAATGGTCTCTTCAACGTCAATATTTCCCAAGCAAAGCTGGAGGAGTGCCTGTACTGTACCGTTTCATTGAATTACACTTTATTTCTATCTAGCTTTATTCGAACGAAAAAGAAAAGGGTCAGTTTCTGACGGGTATATTATCTGTTGTGATGTGAATAACAGGCTTGGCTTGACCCTTTGAACATACCATCAGGGGGATCATTTGTGTGTGACATTTGTGGAGACCCTTTACAATTCTTGCTTCAGGTATGAAGTTATGGTTTGTGCTGCACCTGTGGATTGTGATATACTGTATTAAACCCCTGAATTGCTAGGTTTATGCGCCAACTGAGAAGGAAACTACATTTCACCGAATGTTGTTTGTTTTCATGTGTCCCTCAATGAAATGTCTTCTCAGGGATCAACATGAGCAATGGAAACACCATCCAGAGAAGCCGTCTAGAAGGTCAGTGATCATCCTCTGTGAAACAAACTATTCCATCGTTTTTTAGTTCCTTTGATCATGTATATCTGATTATGTATTGTTTTATTAAAGTGTGAAGGTTTTCCGTTGTCAATTACCTCATGTTAATCCATTTTACTCTCCAGAAAGCCCTCAGTATAATGAGAGTCACGGACCGGCTAGCAGTGGAGGTTGGTTTACTTACCATTATAATAGTGTTGCTTCATTTGTTGATAATAATCCCATTCACATCCTTCAAGTATTTCTTGTGACCATTTATGTAAATTCATTTTGAGTTTTATGAATGTTTACTTGTTTTGCGTTTAGGCCTTAAGTATGTGCTCATAATTGTGACCTGAGGGAAACATGTGTTTGGAATTGTCTAGAAATCCTCTGTTTTGGTACGGTGAATAGAGATTGTTGTTTCTGTTGTTTGGATGTTTCTTTACTGGCTTGTGTTTGTGTATGCTGATTTTTTATTCTTTATACTCATGATTGTTTCATTTTGAGTACTGAGTACTGGTGTCGAGGAGTCCTGCATGAAGTAAAAAAGTGTCCATGACTACCTTCTGTTATTGCATTTCTGAATCTACCTCAATTTTGATTGAATGTGTGCTTACTTTCAGCTGTTCTTTGTGATTGGTGTGGCACTTGGAAAGGAGACAAGATCTGTAGTAGTTGCAGACAAGCACGGTATTGCTCTGAGAAACACCAGGTAATGTAATTACTTAAATGAATCTGTTGGTTTTCTTTCACAAATTTGATTCCCATGGCATTTCTTTTCTCTTCCAACACACAGGTTATGAGTTGGCGCACAGGGCATAAAATTGCTTGCCCTCAGATGAAAGTTTCTTCACTTGTTTCTGAATCCAACAAAATTGGAACCACCTCCCTGGAATCTCATAAAGGTCACAGTGGTTTAAAGTTGTGTACTTTTATTACAAGATTTATTTTCTTCTCGTTGATACTGAAATTAGTAGTCACTTTTAGATGAAATATAAAAAATGACAAGACTAATTATAAAACTGCCATTCCAAAATAGAACACAGACATTACTGTTTACAATTTTATGACATCTACTATTTAGCTTCTTGTTAGTTTACACGAGATCATTCTTCGTTACCATATAGTTGGAAGCAAGAATTTGTGGCCTGAATTTGAGATCACCATTGAAGATGAAAGTGAATATAATAGAGACATGTGTGAGGAAAATACCTTGTCTAATTCCTTAATCTCAAGGAACAGGAATGATGACTCGTTGAATTCAATTTTGGATAACTTTCAGGTATCACTTTTATCTTTTTACTAAGATTATTATGTTACTTGTTTATGTATATTCTTTGCTAACTATACTGTTTATGAACAGGGTGATGCTGACAAAAAGAGTTGGGCCTCCTTCCAGGAATGCATTGACAAGGCCCCTGAACAAGTGCTAAGGTAATAAAGATTATACAAATTAGAATGCTTAACTATGGTGAATTTCCTTGTGTGCCCTTGTGGAGGCAGATTTTTTACTAAACCGGATGGGGGAAATTTTTTGACAAATATAGTATCTTGCCTTAGGAGATTAAATTTAAAATAAGCAGGAAAATAGTAGAAATATATTCATTACCACTTGTCTCTCTTTCACCTAACATCTAACATTTGAGATGCCATTTGGAACATGTCATTGCTACATTTTACAAAAGTAACTGAAGTGTTCACTATTAACTTGCACTGTTATTTTACTTATTAAATCGTAAGTAAGGAGACAAAAGTTAGAATTTAGATTATGAATCAAAGTTTATCTCAAAACCCCCTTATAAAAGTGCATTTCTTTATATTCATATTTTGAAACTTGTGTAATAAAAAATAATAATTTGTATAATAACCAGATTGATGGGATTAGTTTTATCAATATATTGTGTCTAATTACAGTTTTGGTAAAACAGGTATTATAGGAATACTAATGCTAAGCCAATATGGCCTGTTACAAGTGGTCGGCCATCAAATGCTAATATCCCTAGATGTAGTTACTGCAGCGGACCTATGTGTTGTGAATTTCAGGTAGTTATTTTACATATCAGTAGTTGAAGCTGAATGTTGTTCTGCATGTAATATTTTTTCTATGGCTTGTTCAAGCAAATGTTTGTATATTTCCTTTGGACACTGAGTTGTTAATGTTGGCGGTGCCAGATTTTGCCACAGCTGCTTTATTACTTCGGCGTTGACAATGAAGTGGACTCTCTGGATTGGGCTTCAATTGTGGTGTATGCATGTGAAGCCTCTTGCGATGCAAGTTTGCCTTACAAACATGAATTTGTTTGGGTGCAAATTTATTCACCTTCCACAGCCTTATAAGGAAATATGAAAGTGTCCTTTTTTTCAATTGTTTTTTAAAGACTTGGTGGAAGTATGGGAAAGGAATTTCTTTAACTACTTCAACCATCAATTTTGAGGATTGAATGTTGATTATGTAATTTATTTATAGGCTTTTTGCGTCCTTGCTATTATCAATTAGAATGTGTGATTTGCAACAGTTAGTGATGTTTACCTCTGCAGTTTACTGTGTCTCATACTTCAGCTAGAACTCTTAAGTAAATGTTTGAACAGCCAATTATCTTCAATTTGATAATTCATGATTTGTTGATAATGTAAAATATGTTCACAAATTACGTATCTGACCATTTCGTTAAATTCTTAATTAAGTCGTACAATGATGGAAAAGCAGGATAAATGAACGCATTGACTCTAATCATGATGCCAATCCCATCTATTATCACCCTCACTTCTGATTGCGGTGTGAAATGCTAGGAAGTTGGCCTTTCAAAAAAGAAAAAGTTAAATCAAGATTAAAAGACATTCTATTGGATTAACAATATTCATATTAAAGTACGTGCTAAAGTTTGTCCTTCTGAGCACCAGGGAAACTAGGTCAAATTGGAACTTTTAAATATAAAAGTGACTTAGAGAATTCTCTTTAAAAAATAATTTTAATATATTAGAATTTATTTTAAGAATTTGTTAACTTACTCTTTTTTCTTAAATAGTTTTCAGATTTTAATTTTTTTTATAAACTAAAAAAACTCCTTTCATAATTGTTTTGTTAAAATATATTTTCAAATTTTGTATTTTTTAGTTTTTCAAAACTAAAAAATTTTAATTAATAAAAGTGTTTTATTTTAAATTTCAGTTTCCTTAAGGATATCAATATTTTTTGTTAATAATTATATTAAATTGCTCATGTTAATTATTATATAATTATTAAAATTATATACAATGTTTTTCAATTTAAATAGTTTTTAAAATATAAAGTCATAAAAAATATTTTTTAATTTATTTTAAAAAAATAAAAAAAATAAAACATACCTTACAGATTTTGCGGCATTGCCATTGGATTTTCACCTTCTATTTTTGAATTACTGTAAAACTTTATATTGAAATCTAAAAAAGAATTCGAGAATTTGGACACAACATTACCTGTCTTATAAGTGTAGTATTTGAATATAGTTTTTACATATATTTTCTGTATTAGAAGGATATAATATTTAGTTTCTCAACCCTATGAAGTTGAGAAAGTAGATTTTATATTTGATTTATTTTGTAAAAATTAACATTACCAGAAAACCATGTTTTATTATGATGGTTTTTACCTAAGATTCTCACAAAATATTTTTGTAGAAGAGAAAATTTTTCTAAGAATTTATCTTTCCCTAGTTAAATTAAAGTTTGATTCTATTATATTACTTTTATTAAATTATTTATTATGATAATAATTAAAAAATTAATAAAAATAAAACACGATTATTTAATCTCTAGAAAATTGTTATACATCTTCCTAACAATATTTTTAGTGACAAAATAGAATTTAGTCATCCTTAAAAGTTATAATTAGAATTCATCATTCTCGGTAATCATGATTTTGAATACTTTTCTGGTATATTATTATCATCCAAAATTTAAATTATATGAGTATTATTTTGGCTCCAAAAAGTTAGAAAAAATTATAAGAATATCGCCTGAAAGACAAGCAAAGAGAGAGCAAGAGGTACGTTGTTTATTAACACTACCTTAACTTCCGTGACATGATGAAATACAATTTTAGAATTCTTTTTGCAATTTTTTTTATCTTTCAAAAGACATTTTGTCGGCGCTTCACACTTTCAAAAAGGAATTTAACAATTTACTTCAAATGCATATCTAACATAGGCATGTGGCCTTTGAGGATAACTTTTGGTGTTGATTTCTTCAAAAGATTGTAGTAAAGATTACACACATCACATCTACAGTATAGTCGTAGTATATTAATCTGCTCCGTAAAATTCACCTACTTTTTGTCAAGGAAATGCTAAATATTATTTGTATTTTCTTTAGTTTTAAAATAAACTCTCATCTTTTTAATTTTTTAATAAAATAACAATCAAATCCTTTTCATCCACTTCCTTCAATTTATTTTACAATATATTAACTAAAACTATAAAAATTAACAATTAAATTTCAAATATGAAAAATAAATAATACCTATAAAAAATTAAATGATTTAATTATACTATATGAAAATATTAAAAAATTATACATTATCTTATAAAAATATAAAAATTATACTTTTGAGAAAATATTATTTAAATATACATAAATTTATCACCTTAATATATTTTTATATAATTTTAATACAATATAAATAAAAATACAATTATTAAGTAAGTGTCTCTTTTAAAAATTAGAATGTAATATTACTATTATTTTTTTACAACGGGTGTCTCTTCTGCTACTGGATCAAAAGACTAATCCCAATTACAATATTGTAGTTTGTTAACAAAATCAGTTTCCACCCATTACAATATTGTGACTTGCTATTATTTATCATTGAAAAAAGATTAATAACTAGTAAACATAATCATTAAAAAAAAATTTCACCCATTAAAGGCTAGTCATCTAAAAACAAATGAGAAAATCTGAAGAATGATTGTCAACTTATAATGATGGCAATTTTACAAGGTCTGAAGAATATACCCAACAAATACAAGCATGAGGTAACGAGTACGCCATGAACATATCCATTATGGTCAATGAAGAGCATCAGATTTAGCCTCTATTCTTGTTGGGGCCACTTATACTTTATAGGATCTAATTTATCTTCAATGACTGAAGATAGTTTCATGGGTAAAATGAATTCTCAACTGTAATAACAATACTTCCATTTGAGAATTAATTTAATGGGTATAATAGTGTGACAATATCGTTAATTAACCAAATGAGCTTCTCTATTAACATTTTTCAGATAAAAAAATTAAATTAAAATTTCCCGGTGTTCTTGTATTCTATAGTTTCTTTCAACTTTCATCCTTAAAAATGAAAGTGCTACAAACCTCACCACTAACTTTCAAGAGTTGAAAGAATCTTTTACTTTTAGAGCAATGTCCATCCAACGATAAACGTGATAATCCATAAAATAGTCATCAATCCCTTTCTTCAAATGTCCCCATGGATTAGAAATACACATTAAGAAGTACCTGATATAACTTGCATGGTATACAGATACAGACAATACTTGCTCCTAATTATCTAATTTATCACTATATAAGTTCAATTGCTTAACTACATTCATGTATTCAAGTATATGTAATTATTGTCTTGGGCTTTTTCAACCATCTTTCCAAAGCAACGTATAACTCCTTCTGAAATTAATAATAGCATCAAATATATTTGCAACGTCAAACCATTACAGTTTAAGTGTATTATTTTCCTATTAACAGACAATTTATATGTAATCAAGCTACAGTGATTTGGCTAAAAACTCAACCGTTTTTTGTTTTGGAAATTTAAGCCAAAAAGTGTAATAACATATGAATAAATAAAAAAATTTAATGCAGAGATGGATTTTCGCGGAAAGGGAAAATGCGACTTCCTTCTACTGCAAAGGAGATCAAATCATTTCACAGCTAGAGAAACAGGAAGCCTAATCAAGCTCTAGGAAGATTTACAAAATTTTGAAGATAAAACGTAAATTTAAAATATCAGATTTCGAATACCGAGAGGAGAACCGGATTTCGTGATTCAGGTCAGGAACGATCATCGTCAGATTCGTGATCGGGAAGTGGAATCAGACGCCGACTCCGGATCGATAGCGGTAGAGCTTGCCGAACACATGCAGCGCGGTGACGAAGCCAATGAAGCAGAGGCTCATCACTAGCACCACCGTCGGCGAGATCTTGAGGCCGGGAGCGTCGTCGGTGTAGAACCGCAGCATGTTGCTTCCTCCGGTGCTGGAACCACTTCCAACGGAAGCGGAGCTGTTACCGGTGCCAAGGCGGCGACGTCGCATGCCAGCGGTAGCGGCAGCGGAGCCGCGCGGAGCCATCACACCCGGTCGCGTTGTGGCAGCGGAGGACGCCGTTGATTGAGATTGCGATGCGCCTCTCGCCATGTCCAAGAGATGCGAAGATCACGAGGGAATAGTGGTGTCTGGGAAAGAACAGAGTTGGGAATGGAGATTTGCGAGAGGATCGTTAGAAGCATAAAATTATTTATGTTACCCAAAATAAAATAAAATAAACAAATTAATATTATTTAATATCACTGGCTTCACTTATCCACTTGTTAATTAATATATTTATAGTAATAAGATGAGATTTCATTAAGGATTAAAAATTAATTTTGTTCTTGTATATATATATATATATATATATATATATATATATATATATATATATATATATATATTATATGTGGTGCATGCACTGTGTAATAATGGGACTTGTTATAAAAGGTAAATGAGATTAGAATATTGATGGTTGTACTTTTTAAAAGCAAATTTTATGAGATCCTTGATATTTTAAATTTGAATTTATTTAAGGTTTTGATTTATATATATATTATAATTTGACTTAATGTGTTTTCCTAATTCATTGTTGGAGAAACTAGTGTAAAATCTAATGTTAAACTAATTGAATTTATGAATTATTCAAATTAATAATGAGTCGTATTCTTACACCTTCAAGTTATAAATAGGTATAGAGGACATCTCTATTAATATTAATTAACTATGGTTATTTTAAACTCCTTCACCTTTTATTAGTGCAAAACAATTATTAGATTTATTAATTATTTTTTAAATAGGTATATTATCTTTTATTTATTTATGTCATCTAAAGTAGTTATCTTTTTATAAGATTATAAATTATTTCGATAAGCCTTCTAAGAATACGTATCTAGTTTCTTTTCAGAAAAAAAAAACAAAAAAGCTAATTTTATCGACTTTTGCATTATTTTGATAAGTTGACAAATGTAAGTGTGTGAAGAAATCAAATTATTTTAAGAATAATTTTGAAAGAGTTTGTTTTTATTTACTAATTAAATGAGTTGTATTTAAAGTAATTATATATATCTAAAAGAAAAAAAAACTTTTTTAAAAGTTATTCATAGTACCCTTGCGTTAAGGTTCAATTTATTGGAACATTTGAAAGGATTTTTGAAGATGTGTTTGGTTATTACCATTAGAATACGTAAAATTCTAGCTCAATGCGCTTTGCAAAGTGAGATTTAAAAAAAAAAAAACTTAAAAACACACAGATATGTTGAGAATAAAGAAAATTGATTGACTATTAAAAAAAAATCAACACTTGATCTTTTGTAATTTATGCATTTCATTTATTAACGCAGTCTTAATTTGTATTGAAGTAAATAAATTTTTTTAATACTGGTATAAGCTATATGTAAATGGAAGAAAGAAAAAATAACATTGAAAGATAGTGAACAATATTATTCATACATCTTATATTGGGATTGATACACTTGATCAACTTTAGGGTTAGTTAATAGATCAACAACAACTTGATATTGAGATGAAAGAGGAATGATTTGTGTAAATCCTATTTAAAATGTTTTATTTTTTAGTATATAATTGGGTTAGCAATTAATAAAACAACATCTAAATTATCATAATAAATCAATCGCATGATGATTCAATGAAGTATTATTACAAAACATGGATAGAATACCATAAATATATGGGGAGTTAAAAAGATTCGTGGAATAATCTTGTTCAATTTGCAAATTCTCCTTTTATTAGAAGACGAAACCCACAAGCTTAAAGCATAAATAGATTCGTAAGTTCTCGATTTAGAAATGCATTGTTTATATTAATTTGTTGAATTGGTCAATTGGATGACTTGGCCTTTACGGGGACAACCTTGATTGTTGTAGGCTTCACAATTTCTATAACGTATGACTGAAACCTTTTGGCAAGGAACCAGACCTTGGGCCATTGGAAAGTGTCATCTAAGTTGTATAAAAATTCATTTAAAACCATTTTTTTATTGTTGTCGGTGCGAACGTATCTAACAGTGCAACTATCAGACATATTGTTGTATTCTTCCTGTATTATTTAGGAATATATTTTATGTTAAAGCTAATTTTTAAAAATATTATTTATTTTAAAAAAATTATTTCAAATTTGTATATAAAATATATTTTGATAGATTATGAGATATATATAAATTATTTTTAATATTGACTCTTAAATAATACCAGACTGACGATTATAACATATATCTCAATTAACGTCTAAAAAATATAATTAAAATGAGACTCTATTATATATATATATTCTAATCAACCTCAACCTGTAACAGAGGTTATTTCACGCGATAATAGCTTCATGTCTTAACTACAATTGCATATAGCTTTTAGGCTTGAAAATAATTTGCAACCGATACAAAAGTAGAAATAGAATAAGTAGTCGGGGCAGATAGTGTACTTTAAGGCATGTCACAATTTTGAAATTGTGAAGGAATAAAAACCAGATTAGCATGAACCAATGTTATATCATATCTTGAATTTGTCAAATCACTCTTATTGAGCCATAAAAATACCTTAATATATATAGGAGTCAAGTTGATGTAACAATGTTACAAAAGAATCAAATTCTTCTAAAAATTAAGAATGTCGATAATCTTCTTTATAATATCATAATAATCATAACATATTATTTACAATATAACAATAATAAATATTTATATCACGTAAATACATTATTACAGTAAAAGATCGCCACATCCAACAATGCATTTAATATAATAACATATGTCTAACACGATCACTAAACTTTTTTTTAAGATGTTGTACACGATGACAGTTTTTTTAGTGTATAAGGATCACAACAAATATATTTGTATATTTATAATTTTATCTATTAATAAATATATTTATTTATATATTTTTTTTAACTATTGATTATTTATAAATACTAAAATAAACTATTAAATATATTGAATAAGAAAATATTTTATATTTTCTTATATTTTTTATTATTTATTAATAATATATTATTTAATTCTTTCAAACTTTACAAATTAGTTCATATCTAAATGATTAAAATTTTAGATAAATTGACTGAAGCGATTTCACATGAGTTTTGTGCAACAAAATTCATAGTGAGTTTCATGAAGCAAATAACCATCAAGCAAGATGAAGACAAAATTAAAGGAAAAGAGTGTTACCTAAGAGTTTAGCTAGATACATCTGATAGATATATACTTATTAACTGACGTAATTAACAAGCATAGTTGTAACCATTGAGATACCAAACATTATTAGGAGACAAAGAAGAATCGAAGGAATCATCGTCATTCATGGCTATTTTTACGTAGGATGACAATTGTTAACATCAAATTATGGTATGATCAAGATTTTAGTTTTCAGATGCTGCTGAAAAATGGTTAGCAACTAATTATTATTCAATTTTAATTTTTATTTCTAAACAATATCATTGTGTCAAATACTTTAGAATAACATGCTTGTAGGAGTAAGTTCAAAAAATCTTATTCGCAACTGTATCTTCTTTTTCTTACCATCTTCACAGCAGATGCAACTGCAAATTTATACCATGTATACACGTCTCAAATTTTGTATCTGACAAGTACCCGCTGCATAAATTACTAGCATGGAATTTCAGACGACAACATGTCATGCATGCATCTGTTTACATTCGATGATGCCAATTATTAACAAAGGCACCCCAATTAATGTTACAAAGGAAAGAAGATAAAGTTAATTATATTGCTCTAAGAATATATATATATATATATATATATATATATATATATATATATAACACCTTGAATAAATTCAATTAGAAGAATGGTGGTAGGTGACTAAGTACCACTGGTAGGTCGATTATCAAAGGAAAATTCCTTGGTGTGTGCCGCAGCAACAATCTCATGGTGGGTTGTGTTAGTTGAGGGGTCATTGGTGGGACCGATTTCAATTTCATGGTGGGAGTAGGAAGGAGAAGGGGAATCGACGTCCCAGGGCTGGGTGTGGTCGCCGTCGAAGTTTGAGCGCCGTGGAGAGGTGGGGAAGCTGTCCATTTCAGAACGGTAGAAGCGCAAGAGGTGCACCGGGGACATGTGATGGCTCGGGGTGGTGGGTCTGCTCGACGCCGGTGTCCCCGACAAGGACAAGGGTCCCACACGGTTCTGTCTTATGTGCTTCTTCGCCGTCCGGTGCCAGTTCCGCAGTGCCTCCGCTACTCTTTCGTTGAATATCGTTGGCTTCATTGTTGAACCCATCTGTTATTAATTGTTGTTAATAACTGTAGTTAACCTTTTCTTGATGTTGACTATGGAAGCAGCATAGAGAGAAATAGGGTTTTATTGCTACCTGTGTCACTAGAGCATATAGAGGAAGAGTAACGTAGCTGCACAGGATTTGAATTAGGACCCTGACAACAAAACCATGATTAAGATATACATAATTCACATTTTAATACAGTTAAAGATGTGTAGATTGAGTTATAAGATGAAAGGTGATCACACTCACCCCATTGTGATTCTGATCACTACATCCTCTGTATGTTCATGGAAACATGATTTTATTCCGAATTGAAGCTGAGAATTGAACAAAAATCAATTATTTAAATCGAACAGAGGTAGTTTTTATTGATTAATAGTGTGAGTTTTTCTATTTAAATAATCTGCAAAAATATATTCGGATGACTTACAGCAGACCAAGAGAAAAAAGCCAACTGAAAAGCATTCTGTTGAAAACAAAAACAAGAAACAGTAAACTCTTAATTAATATAATAAAAACAAATAAATTACAGTATTAATTAAGCAACATGAGTAGTACCTGAAAGAGCACGAAATTAATAAGGTAAAGAATAAGGGAAGGTCGGTTAAACCAGAACAAATAATCCCCAGGTTGAACCAGTGGCACTCCCTTTAGGACCTCTCCTCTTTGTTGAATTCTTAGACCCATCTCAGTTATGATCACTTGCAACTTGGTTCCAACTAACAGAATGATCTACATTTGATGCACGTTAGAATGTAAAATTAGATGGGTATATATCATTATCGATCATAATTTGGACCAAATTAATGGAAGTAGGGTTGCATGTGCTCACAATCAAAGGAATGAATGGCAGCCACAGATAAGAGTACCAACCTGTCCATGCATATAATTATATAAAGAAAAATGAGTTCTTAACACAGAAGAGAGTCAAATACGTCGGTGGCACGTTAATCAGAGGGTGACCGACGTATATATATATATAGTCGCTTACCATGAGTGTTTAAGAGGAGAAACAGCACTGCGAAGAACCAGAATGGAGGACTGAAATTTTTGAAAACAGCAGTTAAATCATAATGTATAATAAAGATGAAGAAGATATTGTCATGAGATGTTAAATCTGGATGTTTTAATTCAAATATAACATCTATTTTTATATCTAGCTATGAAAATTTTCCTTAATGATATATATAGTACAAAAAATGACAAGAGACTTAGTAGTGCACAAAACCTGATTCCAACTACGACTTTGAAATCCTCGTCCAGTGATCGTTTTATGTATTTCCGAAAATCAAATTTGGAGTGACTTTGAGGAGCCAAATGTGCCTGACATCAAAGTAAATTTCCAAATCATTTATTAAGAAAAAATTAGTAATCCCAAGCAAGCCAAGTTATTGCACAAATTTAAAACATTTAATTAATTTTTTATTATTATCTCTATTTCCAATTTATTTGCAGTTTAAGTTTTCTACACATAAATTAAGAAAAATAATATATATGTATATACCATTTTATTAAAATAGTCTTACACTCTTAATAAAAAAAATAATAAATAAAGAGTAGAGTAATTGTCATGATATTTCATTCACATAATTTATGAGGGCAAATTAAAACAAATAATTAATAATATATTATAAAATAAGAAAATAATTTATTTTGGAAAATATTTTAAATTTTACGTACTTTTGTATTTAAATAACGAAAATATTATTATTATTATTAATCATAAACAACACAGAAAGTAAGAAGAATGAATAAAAGAAAGAAATGATACATAAAAGAAATGTGGCTATAAGAGACATATAAATTGAGATATATTAAAAAAAATGTTGAATCTCTACTTTATTTAATACTTTTTTATCGGTTATGCTAACGAGAATGTTGGACAAAAATATAATTAATATCTTCATTTTTCTTTGTACCTTTTGTATTAAAATTATTATTATTTAGAGTTTTATTTTTCAGAAGTATGGTTAAAGAATCAAAACTAAGTACTTTTCATGTAAACATATTTTTAATAAATATTTGTATTTATTAATTCTTTGACAGCTCTTTTAGGATAATTGTTAAATTTAAAACCAAAATGTCAAGAAAATATTAAAAAAATGTATTCAATAATTACGAGTCATTTTTGAAATATTCTTTTTCTAGGAAAGCGCATAGAAAAAAGCAATAAAGTAGGTCTTTTGATTAAAGAAAGTGGCAAGTGAAACTACCAAGAAGGAGACATTTGATTACTTACCATGATAAATCCATGTCTTAAGGTCAAGTAATCCACTTTCGGAACTGACCGCACAAATTGTCTGAAGAAACAAACCTGAAATCATCAGCAGAATAATGAATTATAATGGTGAAACACAAATTAAACACTTAATTTAATTTGAATATTTTCAAACTCTTTTGTAGTTGCAAAAACAAAGATCTATTTTCTCTGGTGATTAAGATAAATTAAACTAATAAACCCACAACACCTTTGTCTAGAGGCAAAGTGGTCCTAATGCAACATTTTACAAAAGAATGGTGCAATTCAGAAGTCATGAACAAGGACCACTGTAAAGTCTGAATCCGCGTCTTTACGTGAATGAATGGTGCTGCTACAATGTTTTTTTTCTTTTCAACTATCATGCGACTTTATTCCCAAACAATTTCATGTTTCATATGAATACTGTCATTAGACCGGTCTTTCAAAATCCACGTTTTTCTCTGCATGCTGAAAGCTATTATAATGTTTGTATGAAAATGCAGTGATCTTTCACATACTGTAACAATATTTCCATCTTTATAAAATTGAGTAACTTTAATGCCAAATGAAATTTAAAAAACTACAATAAGTTGCTTTGCACAAAGTCAGAGAGTTGATGAATAAGTTTAGAGACAAAAAATTAAAATATATTAAATGAGTAGAACTTAAATTCAACTTATTTATTAAGTTATATCAAAATAAATAAATGTAATAGATTTGGCTTACAATCCACATGAGGACAGGGTTTTTGGTCCAGAAACTCAAATGCCTTCTTCCAAACGATGTTTCTCTGGCAAATCGAAATCGTTCAGGATCTGTATATCACACAATAACCACAACCCATTAAGTAAGTTACTACATATGCAGATACACATAGTAGTAATGTGGGTAAATTATTGATGGAGAAAAAACTAACCATGTGAAAATTGGTACTCTGGTGTCTTGGTTTCCTCTTCCCATCGTTTCCACCTCTTCATCTATTCATTTACAATTCGACCAAGTAAGTGATAATTATTATATTTTGGTAAAACAAAATTTAAATTTATATAAAAAAAAATCTTTCATTACCTTTGCTCTTCCCAGAGCCATGGTGATGATGCAGTAAAGGATATGAAAAATAGCCAGCACAAAGATAAATATATGGAGTTGATGGATGCCATCTGATGACACAAACGGGACTTTACCCTAAACATTTTTTATGTTAAAAAAAAAATAACACATTATTACAGCAAATAAATATATCAATGAAAAAAAAATGCTATGAAAATTAAACATGTTCTTGTTGTAGAATATATATATTAAATTTTGATGCGTGATTTCTTAAGAAAAATGGGAAATTTTTTATCGAACAAGCAAGATGGGAAGTCATGGTTTAACCAGACAAATGAGAAAATTTGTTGTGAGAAAAAAAAAACTACCTAAAATAGTGTTTTGTCTGTTGGGACATGCCATTCTTTTTTTTGCATGGACCCTGTTTAAAATACATTTAATGGTGATAAAATATATTCTTATTATTTCAAGAAAATAGTGCATGCACTATATAGCTATTAAACTCTTGTATTTATTGCATATGCACGTATATGTTCTTAATCACTTTCATTTCCTTTTCCTTTTTTTAATTTCTGTTTCCGTGCAAGCATTGCCATCCACATAAACTTCAAATTTCAACTCTTATTAATATTCTAGACTTTTTCCAAATAAATTTAATCATCAGTAGATGACGAAAACAAATTAAGACAACAAATTTAATATATATATGAAAGATTCAGATTTTTTGTAATAATAATAATTTTCTAGTCTAATAAACTTCAGAAAGGTAAAAATTTCGTGGCTAATTTGTATAATATATGTGGTAGTTTGTTTTCACAATATTATTTTATTAAATTAGCATTTGGTCCTTCCTTCTTATACATGAAGACTTTTAACATATTGGTCCCCCCAAGACATTATAGTACCTCTGACTTGAGTGACACAGCCATGGAAGAAATACACAACCACAATACGTATCGATGTCGTATATTTTAATGTGCAAGACTTCTTCAAAAACAACTAAAAAACCTAGCAATTGACATTAGTGGTTTTCGGTCCTATATTATAACAAGTCTTTTTAATTTATATTTTACACGCTGTTTACATTTTCTATTTTTAAAAAGAAAGTCAATTAAATATTCTTATTATTAATTTAATATGCTAATAAAAAATATAAATATAAAAGGCTAACGTATATTATTAGCACAGTAAACGTTTCTATCAGTATAGATTTATTGTCTTCACTAACCATTTCATTTTTGTTTAGAGAAAGTCTATAACTTTTTTTTTTTTCTTTTACTGATTTGGAAAGATAGAAAAATAAGCATGTATATCCTACTCAATCATACAGGACTCAACAATTCGTATAACTCTCAATGTTAAACTTCTGAATCACGATGAAGAGGATATTGTAAGTTTGAAAGAATGTGTATCACAGGAATGTAATCATAATTACTGCAAAAACGTGTTAACCACATGGAAATTGATGTTGTGAAAAGCTATGAAAATGGAGAGAAATATGGTGGAAATTGCGTGTATATGGTGTGAGAACTGAGAAGAAAAACAGAATCCTACCAACCTCGCCACACTTGTCGCTTCCTCCAGCCAAAACACGGCGTGGATTTACCTCGTTTGAACCATGAAACGCTGCTAATAACCTGCGGCTGTTGGTTCCGACTTCTGATTCTTCACTAACTGTGTCGTGGCTGATGCTGCTACCGGCGTGGCTACAAGGGTGCCATGTTGATGCTACTTTTTCTGATATGCATATTCTTGATATTGGACCTTGTCCTACCGTTAAAAGCAACGATAAGAACCCCAATAACATAAGCTCTGCAACAAAATAATTGATTAATTAATCACAAAGTTTTCATTTTATTAACTAATCATTAAGATTTTCTTGCTGTTAACGGTTTAAACCTGATTTGATCTTTTCAAGTGACTCGTAGAGCGCTCTTTTGTGCTTCTTCTTCAACCACTGCTTGCATGCACATATTATGTAACATGTGAAAGAAAAACAAATGTTTGAACAAGTTATTTTACACAAGAATATGAAAAAGTTGTTACCTGTCCTATGAGGTGGATGATGTGTTCGATGATTATGGATATCAAGATCAGAACAAAACAGACAGTGGAGACAGCCCATGTGGGTGTTTCCTCCAAGTTTCTTCCTCCGCCTCCTCCTGCCATGGATTAATTCTTCTTTTGAAAGTTGGTTTTTTTTTTTCAAGTGTTCGTGATAAATAGATTCAAGAGAAGAGTTTTAAAAGAGAAAGGATTATGAAGTGGGTAACTTCTATTAATGATTGAAGTGTGGTTTGGGAAGCAAGGGTGTTTATAGCTTGTTATATTCTGTAAAAGTGAAAGCAGAGAATTTATTCGTGGAGCTTTCTTCTTCTTCTCTCTCTTTATAAACAATAACTCGAAGGGTCTTGCTCTTGACTTTGTCATATAAAATGGAAGAGGGAAACACATGGACATGGTTGTCTATGAGCATTTTGTTGTTGGTAAGATTTAAATGCATGAGAAAAGACCAACCCATTTCAGTAAAACCACTAAATTTTAAAAGAATTTTAAATTAACTTATGTTTCCATTTTTTAATAAAATATTATATATATTTTTTTATTTATATATGTTTAATCTGTCTCACAATAAATTACATGAATGTTTGTGTTGCGTAAATGAAATAATAAAAAAAAACTTATTAAATAATAAGATTGTTTAAATAAAATTAATTCAATAAATAACATTTTTTTTTTGTGTTAGAACTTTTAAATTGGAACTATTTTGAGATCGAAAACAGTGTTCTATCAATTGAGAGAGTATTTTAAGATTTAAGTACACGTTGACTATTTATATACTAATATTCGATTTAAATTTTATTTCAATCTTTGTTATGTGATCTATTTTGAACTTAATTCTTGATAATATATATATATATATATATATATATATATATATATATAATGTTATAATTTAAACACTCTATCAGATTTCAAGTTTATTTATTTTTTAAAAAAACTGGTTTATTAGGTGAAATAACATCTAAATAATATTGGATAAAATATTTTATTATTAGTATGTAACTTTCAATAGGATTAAATAACATAATTTATTCGTGACATATAAATAAGAAATTGAGAGAATGATAGTTTAAATAAATTCTCTAATGATATTATTAAACCTGATTTATTTAAGTTGTACAATGATTTATACCTTAACATTTTTATCTCTTTATAAAATATTATTGGTTACATCTCTTTTTCTTTTCACTTTATTATAATTTTGGTTATGGATATTGATATACATATATTTCTTTATCTTCGATGAAAACAATCATGTTTAAACTACTGTTACTTCAAAAAGTAGAAAAAAATACGAAAATTAATCTAAATTTCTTTGTTTTTTAATTTAATATGACCAAATCTAGTCAAACCAAATTCATCACTTTTTCATAACTCTAAAGAAATAATAGACTTAAATATATTTTTAATTCTTTCAATTAAATCAAATTTATTCTTGCTCTTCAAATTCAAAATTTATTTTTTATTATTCATATTTGAAAAATATTTGTGTTAGTTTTTATGTCCAAACGTATATATAGGGTGTTTGATCACAATAATGTAAAATTAAAGTAGATTTACTTATAAATCATATGCAATTTTTAGTAAAATATTCAATGACATTTGGGACAGCAAAACTAAAACAGACATTTTTCAAAATACAGAGGAATTAAAAACCGTATATATACTTAAATGAAATAATAAAATAATAGACTTAATTGTTTTATATTAAATTTGCATGACTTTTAAATTTAATAAATAGTATTTTAGTTTATGAGAAATTACTCTTTCTATATTAAGATTTAGGTATTATTTGACTTTTTATTTTTATGGATTTACTTCCATGAATGGAGAAGTGGGACAATTTTTATTAAAAAAAAAACCTCTGAATTATACTTCGTGTTTTCTATAAAAAATTTCATTAAATGAATTTTTCTGGTGATTTTCTTATGAACTTTATAAAAAAAAAAAAAAAACTGATAAAAAAAAGTGTTTAACAATATATGAAATGTTCTTTATATTTTCTGGTAAGTGGTTGAACATTTAATTATTAAATTAATTTTTTCAATTTTCGTTCTCACTTTTTTTCTCCGGTTCTTTAATACTCATTTAAATACCACTTTAATTGTAGTGTCTTCCCAAGACCTAACAATTTTTAGTTTATTTGTTTCAAAGAATAAAATATTCATTATTTAATAATTATATTAAATAAATATATATTTTTAAAATATCAAATTATTCAAATAATAAACCATTTAGTTTATTTTAAAAATAAAAATTATTTTTGCAATTTATAATTTAATCAACCCAATCCAATCTAACATGATGAAGGGTGATTAGATTAGGTTAGATAGAATGAAAAAAATAATAATACAAAAACTCGAATCAACACAGCTCAAAAAAAATTATTAAATTGAATAATGAATTTGATTAAAATCAAGAGTTTGAAAAAAAAAAAAAAAAATCGAACCCACCACTTGTTATAGATGATGATGAATTGGTTCACGCTTTTATTATCCATCTTCTTCAAGATATATTATTGGTTCTTATTAGTTAAAGATTAAAAGTCACCGTGTATAGTTATTTATTCTCATATGTATATTAAAAAAATACGAAAAAGATTTTCAGTATCTTAATTTTTTTTTTTAATTATGTATTCACATGTCCTACACAATTTTCATCCCCTTATTAGAAGGTGAGAAGTGATATTCTAATCAAAACATGAAAATCAAACTTGCAATTCTATTTTTTCTTATTTTTGTGCAAATAGTTTTTTTTTTTTGGAATATTATTTTTTTAGAGCTGTTTTTCCACTCACTATCATACTCTCATTTTCTTTTCTTTTTTAGTAAGAAGCCATTAATTAGATACTTTGCAGTTTACTCTGCATAAAAAATACAAAAAATAAAAAATGAGAATGATACTACTAAATTAATCAAAGATACTCTTTTCACGCCATAGCATCTTCATTATGAGCTTTTTCTCCAACTCAATAGACAATTATGCGTATGAATAGTATGTTGTTAATTACTAACCAGTTTAAAATATTATTAATATGATAAAGACTTATGATTAGACCTTAAATTTTATTTATGTTAATTAACGTTAGTTTACTTTTAAATCAATTGATTTTTACTTATTCATCTAATGAGTAATGAGTAATGAGTAATAGGTTTAAAATGTCTAAATATAAAGTAAGTCAAAATTATGATTAGAGTTCTACCATCTTTATATTAAAAATATAAGATTAAAATAGTGAAGGATATAAATATATTTAATTATCTACCTCATTTTTAAGTATATCAAAAGAAGTATTATTATATTATATAAGGTATGTTATACATATTTTAAACAAAATATCTTAAATTTAAAGTTTTCTCAATAATGATATTAACTACTTAAAATATCATTGGTTCACGCGGTCATCATAATTTATATCGACACATTACATAAATCAAGGTAAGTCAATGATAAAAAAATTTATTTATATAACTATTATAGAATATTCTCAATATTCACCTCATAAATAAATAAATCAAACATCACAAATGTATAATAAATTAAGTGTCTAATCTCTTAATCTCAAAGTTACATCTCTTGTCATCGTACACTAACATTCTAAATCACAAATACTTAACTATACTTATAGAAGACTCACATGCATTAAATTTAAGTTCAAAGATCTACACTTGTTATACTACCTTTCCAAAGTTGATATCTCTAACATAAGGACATAATTTGAACATATTCTCTCATATGATAATATAAATCTCGATAACTTTTTAGACACAATTTGTTTCATACTGCAAGCTAAGTTATAAATATTTCCTTCAACTCTTACACCTGATACTTTTCTCTATATAAGTCCAATATTATTTTAGAATATTTTCTTTAGAATCTCAAATTCAATACATCACCTACATCTTAACATAGTATTTTCTCATTAGAAACCACTATGTTAACGTATTAGTACATCATAGACATAAATACATATGAAGATACCTCATGGTATTTCTCACACTTCAATATATTTTTTTATGCATATAATAACAGTCAACACACATCATTTCATGTTCATAACATGTATCTAAGTTATATACATATTATTTATCACATTACAACAAAATATAGTTTTGAAATTTAACCCCTACCTATTTTTTTTTTACCATAACTTTCTTTGTATATATATCTTTTTAAGCTAATTATTATTTCATTGGATTCTATATTTTTAAGATTTCAATTTATATATATAGAATGTTTAATGAAGTTTGCAATTTTTTATTTTTAGAAGTTCAAATATACAATACATCAAACTTCTAGGAAATTTTGCTTGACTGAAAATTTTTTAAGTTATTGAGTGAGATCTCCTCTTGTGTTGAGTGAAAATTTTCTCATATTGTTGAGCGAAACACCCTCTTGCTTGAAAAAATATAATTAAAATAAGTTTAGGAGTTTTGCTTAGTAAAATATTCTTGCTTGACTAAAAATACATCCTACCTTTGATACAAATTTCACTTGAGTGACAAGTTATGTTTAAGCAAAATATGTAGATATCATAACTATAAAAATATACTTAAAATAGTTTTTAGACACCAAACACAATCCTATAAGACTATATTATACAATTTCCTTCTAAAATATATTATATTTGATCTAAATACAATTATCCTACCATAACATTCTAGGTACATCCTTAATCTAAATTGATACATACAATCACAATTCTTAGTTCAATATCAATAATCAATTAGAGAAACAAATCATCGCAAATCAAACAATCTACTAAATTTTTTTCGTGTAATATATATTTTTATTTTTTATAATTTAGAAACACGTTATATTGTATGATGGTTTCAATGTTAACCATTTTAATTAAATTAGTTGTTTAGAACATACTAACATATTTTTCGTGTATAAAGGTTTTTTGAGAGAATTTTTTGGAAATCCTCATTTTTAAAGTGATTTTTTTTTTACTTTAAAAACAATATATTCATGGGTTGGTATAAACATATAGGGTTTAAACCCTAATACCATACATAACAAGAGATTAAAGTTGACTTTCCAACAATGTAAAAGGACCATAAAAAAAGGGTTTTTGAACTTCTAATTGTTAATTACTTTGTCAA